TAATAGAGCACGAAATAATCAACTTATGCATTTGCGTCCTAAAAAGAAACAAAAAAACCTAAAAGCTACTATAAATTTAGTATAAATGTGACTTTAAATCCTATATAAATGTGATTTATCAGGCATCTCCCAGCGCGCGGCTGGGCATCTACCGCAAAATTGAGGAAATTCTAACGCGCCCGCGACCTTCATCCTCGCGCCTGCGTCTCCTTGTTTGGCTTCGCGCCCTCTCCTTGAACCTCTGTTTCCCTTCCTTAGCTCCATATGCATCAATAGGCTTCATAAAAAGGGACCGAGAACCTACAAAATATCAAAGAAAACAATAGGAAAGGAAGAATAAAGAGGAAAAACACGAGAAAAGACAAAACAACTCAAAAACGAAGATAAAAAGCTTTGAAAAAGCTCAAACAAGTGCAAATGAGGGGAAAATTCTTAGAGAAAAAGGATAAATGAGTGGCATATATGCCACTCATCAGTTTTGAGCGGACTTCTTTTCTTTTGTGCTTCTTTTTGCTATCTTATAAACTTGGCCTTTCATTTGTAATCTAAGGTTGTAATTTAAGAAGTTTAGGGTTTGTTTCTAAAGCCTTCAAATAGGGCTAGAATTTCTTGGAAAATTTGTTAAAAATAACACCACCTTTGGGCGGTCTTCCATGATTAGAACAACCTTTGGATTATTCAGAAATAACACCACCTTTGACTCATATCTTCCGTAAATAGAATGTGACTTTAGACACCCAAATGTGTCTCCCCAAAACCGAACACAATGATGAATACCTTTCACGTCATTTGATTATCGAATAAAGAAAAAGTGTGAAAAGTCTAGTGATGAGGATGTTTTTATTAAAATATCTCTTCTTTCTGTTTTTGAAAATATTTCTTTTCTTACCCTATTTATGAAAACATGAATTCCTATTTAGTTTGGTCCATGATAAGGGTCCAATAATAGTGTCGTTGGATAGGGCTCAAAAATTTCTTTCCAACGATATATTATAAGCCCAATTCCGATGAATAATGAGGAAGTTATGGCCAAAATACTAAACTGAGCCCGGTTTGGTTCTTACATAAGACCCAATGATCTAGAGGAGGGCCTATAATTAATTATCATTCCTAAAGCTATTAGGATTGATTATAGTCTTCTAGAATACTCTAGAAAGTTCTTTTGAATCCTAATGGAGTTAGGATTCATAATTATGTTTTAAAGAGTTCAAAATTGAATAAAACTACTCCTTTTAAGAATCCTTGTTTTATACAAGATGAAATATGTTCAGATATTATTTTCGTGCCTCATAATATTTATCAAAATTTTATATGTTTGTAAAGATCTTGAAATTATCTTTCCAATGGTATATTATAATATTAATTCCGAGGTATAACGAAAAAGATATGAATGGAATATGAAACTCTATCCAAAACCGACACTCTTCCACTATTTCGGCTATATCTTTTTTCCTACAAAAGATTTTCATCTGATTTTAATTGATTTGGAAATTAAACTTCAAGAGCTTTTCAAATACATATTATATGTCTTATTTGGACTTATGGATCAAAAGATATGATAAAAACAAAATCCGCAAAAACTATCTTGCAGAGCCGAACGACAGGCCTGTCGCGCGGCGACAGAGTCGAATTTTATTTTTCTTCGAACTCTAATTCTTTTTTATCAAAACCTGACTCATTTTCATTATAAATAACGTCCTTAGAACTCTGTTTTTAATCATCAACTCTTAACCAAAACTCTCTAATTATCTTCTCTTTTTAAGCTTAAGCTTATTCTCTCTCTTCCTCTTTATAAGCCTAACCTTTTACAAACACAATTCCTCATACATTAGCACAGGACACACCTAGCCAAATTCAAAGTTGCCTTTGCCCTAGACGTGAAAGGTTTGATATTTCTGATGGTTTGGTCCCAAATCTCTATTTCTATTACTTAATTTAATTGTTTGATTTATTATTTCCTTGAAGTAACTAACGTGTGTATTTTGCTATTAGAAAGAGATACGAGGCATCCAAGTAAGTGCTTTAATTGTTTTATTGATAATTTGATATAGAAGTCATGTTTAGGTGGTTATTTTGATTTCTAGTATCTTGTTAGGATGTTTTTCCTAGTATCATGTTAGGATGTTTTTCCTAGTATCATGCTAGGATGGTTTTCTTAGTATGATGTTAAGGGTGATAACAATAAGTTCCTAATATCAATTATGATTTCTATGATGCCTTTTATTGTCTTTCCTAATTTAATATTCATGTTAGTATCATGTTAGGGTTAAAGCTTTGATTTTTATTTTTTAGTGACATGCTAGGGTTTATTATTAATCTTGTTAGTATCATGCCTAGGATCTTGCTATTATGCTTTAACATGATGATGATGATTATTGATGATAATTATTATTATGATTATTTTTATAATTGTTTTGATTATAATTTTGATTATTATTTATGATGATTATGTTGCTTGTATTATATTGTTATTGCTTGATCACACTTTTTATGCATGTTTAAAGTGAATTTGTACTTGTAATCATGCGTAATAAGATAATTAATAATCTTGTTAAGGTTAATTTGATTATAATTCAAGTGATCGCCAGCAATAGTTTTGTTTGTGCATTAATATTCAACCAACATAGATTAAACAGGTTTAGGGTTAACCTATTGATTGCATGTTAGTCAGAAAGCGCACATGAATACGAGAAAAATAAAGTAGAGGCCTATTATTAGGGCAAATTCTTTCTCTTTTAGATTGGATTCATACCTTCACCCCCGAACTTCCAGTCTTGGTTCCGCCAGACCTATTGGAGTTAACGATCTCTTGGATCGTTAAGGGGTGTAACCTTCACCCTGTGAACGGTTTACAAGTTCCTAAAACTTGTTGGCGACTCTTTTGCTCTATCTTCCTTCCCTTTGGACGCCACCATGCTTAAGTGTATGATCACAGTGGGGTTCAAGTTTAGGGTAATGCTTGAAATATTCCGTACAGTGACCTGTTAGTAACATGTTGCATAGGTTACCTATGACACGTGTCAAACTGTAAGTGACCAATTTTTTTTTTTTATTAAAAACATTAAATCTAAAAATAAAACCTAAAAATAAAAAAATAAAACTTGCATTGAAAAAAAAAAAGAAAACCCCCTACCCAACCCCACCGATCCCAACCACCACTCCTTCTTCACTACCCAGTCCCCCTACCCCCGCCGACGTCATCTTTACCAGCCATCTCTTCCACGTGCCAGCGTCAGACCTTTTCCAACCTCCACTTAACTCGGGGCCCCTTTACACCCTAACTCACCTCACGCACCTCCCAAATCGACAACCAAAACCACTAGAGCAGTCCGCTATTACTCGACAACAAGCGACATCAAGACCACTATCACTTTCCAACCAAATTCGTCACAAGCAGCAACTAATCTCAGCTATTACCTACTCCCTTTCCCCGGCTAGACCATACATGTAAACAACCCATTATTGAAAAGGGGGACGGTGTTTCGGAATTAAGGTTTCGGGGCAGGGGGTTAGTTTTCTGGGTGATTTTGGGTGGGTTTAAGGTGGCCAAGAATAGGGGAGGGAGGCTCATTACGGGCAGGAGGGCTGTTTTAGGGGAGGGAAGGTCATAGAGGTAGGAATCGGGTGGGGGAGAAGGGTGAGCGGTTGCCAGCAGTGGGGAAGTGGTGGGGGACTTAGGCGCTGCTAGGGGCAGGTAGTGGCAGGGTGGTGGGGAGAGGAGTTTGTTTTTTTTTTTTTTTTTTAAAAATTGTTTCTAAAATAATTTTATTATTAAAAAAAAAATTAAGTTTTCTTTCTTAAAATCATTATATTTAAAAAAAAGGTTAAAATAAAATACTTTTTTTTAACCAATCACACATGGACACATGTCAATATAACCTGTGAAACAGGTTACAGGTTTTTTGCTCTATTTTTGGCGAATGTGCATCAAAAGTCGTTTTATTTTGAAATAATCCAAAGGTCGTTCTATTTTGGAAGACCGATGAAAGGTGGGGTTATTTTTGACAAAATTTCCAAATTTCTTTTTGGAAAATTTTTTGCTTAATTTTGAAATCAATGAGATTTTCTCTTTCTACTCATAATCTTTGTGATTATTTGCTTTCTTTGTGATTGTAACATTGTAGTTACACCTTAATCCTAGCTTTACTTTGTGTTAGCTTTGATTAAGAGCCCTTGTTTCATATATCTTGGTGATTGTTGAGATAGGTTTATCTTGTTTTGTTGATTTGAAGTTGTTGTTAGTTGATTTTTTTTCCCCTCATTTCTTTGTTTTCTTGGTTATTCCATATAACATAGTATGAGCTTCCATTTTATTCTCATTCAAATTATGATTATCTGGAGTGGCAAATATATCAAAACACTAATGACAACAATTACGGCCAACAATTACCATTTTGATATGTGTTTTTAAATTCATATAGTTTTGTACCCTTAAATCTCATGGTTTCCTTATACAATTTTCCTTCAATTAATTTTGTTAAACTCACAACACCTCTCTTTATAGTCATATACGGCTATACTAGCTAATATATATTCAGTCTTCGAAAGAGTAATAAAATAATTTAGTAGTTCGAATCCATGTATGTAAAAAAATATGCTGGTAATTTTTCAAACCATTGCTTTTCTTCTAATCCCATTTATTTTTAGTGTCCCCTCTATTCATTTACTTCCCTATCCACTACTTTTATACTCATATTTCTATTAAAAATCTAAATCAGTTTCATAATCAGGCTGTGATAATTTCACTTTTGAAACATCTTCTAAATCTCGAAAATTGTTAAGCAAAAGCATTATAAGTGTTTTTGAAACAAAATGCTCCTGGGAGTCTTAGGGTCAGTGGCGTAACCAGAAAAATTTCGAAGGGGTGGCCGACCTAATCGATAATCTAAAAAACATACATCAACAAGTCATAAATGCATATGTAATTGGGTAAAAAAAATCAACATAAACCATTAAAATAAAAAGGTCTATAAAAATTTGAAGTATTAAAAAAATACTAATCACTTAACACGAGCTCTCCTACGTTTCATAGAATAAAAGTCATCTATAATTGACTTTATTTCAAATTTTACGGCAATCTCCTTATTAATATACACTAGCAAGTAATCGGAAAGAAAGTCATCTTCCATCTTATTTCGAAGGCTAGTTTTCACAATTTTCATTGCCAAGAAAGCTCTTTCTGTTGTTGCTGTGCTAACCGGAAGGGTCAAAATAAGCCGAATCAAACTATTAACTAATGGATAAGAAACTGATTTCCTAGTCTCCACCAAATTTCTACACAAATCAGTAATGGTACTCAAATCCTTCATATCCGGGTGCTTAGGAACATCACTATAAAATTGTTGAAGTTGATACTTCAATTGTGATTTTTCATACTCTGTAAAGTCCTCGGGATAGTATATCTCTACCAGGAGACAAATATTTTCCACATTAAAGTGTTTATATCCACCAATAGAACTCAAAGATGCACTTAAAGTCAGTAGCTCTGTTGTTCGTTCACTAAAGCGACTATTTAGCTCTTGCAATTGCTGACCTACAGCTGCATTAAACACATCCACCCGATAATGATGCTCCACTATTATGGTGTCTTTGTTGCGTCGAGATCGAATTATATCAGAATAAGCAACCTGCATATCCAGTATTTGAGTATCATGTTTAAGGCAGAATGATTGTACCTTTTGTAAAAGGGATTCCCTACCGTTATCTCTAAAATTTTGAATAAAGGATTTTGTACCAACAACTAAATGCATAGCATTTAAAATGTCTTGTGATTTATGCTGCAAAGCTCGACAAAGACCATCTATATATCCTATAAGATCTTCCATAAGATGTAAGATAAATACGAAATCAAATGATACCAACTTTTTTAGAGCAGATTTAGCATCCCCACGTTGAGAATATGATACCCGACGATCAATGGCAATTTTTTCAAGGACCAAGCGAGTAGCATTGTACATTTTTAATAGACTATAAATCGACTTATAATGAGAGCTCTATCTAGTATCCCCAAGACGTTGCAACGTGCCAATTTGATTAAATCATTTCCCTGTTTCAACCTCCTCAATCTCAATTAAATTCTCCAATTCAGCTATTTGGCTAGCTTGTAACTCATCATGACGCTTAGAAGAGGAGCTAACAGTGTTAACAATAAAAATTAAATCTTTAAAAAAATCGTGAACCTCGGCTACTTCCCTTGCTGCAGCAATAAGTGCTAATTGTAATTGATGTGTTAGACAATGTACATAATAAGCATAGCGACATTATTCCATGAAAAAAGCCTTTAAAACATTCCATTCTCCTCTCATATTACTAGCACCATCATAGCCTTTCCCTCTAAGGTTTTGAATGCTCAACTCATGGTTAGATAAAACCACATAAATTTCTTCTTTAAGAGTCTTAGAGATTTTATCTTTGACATGTACTAGCTCAAAAAATCGCTCTCATAAATAAACATATCTATAAAAAAAACCTTAAAACAATAGCCATTTGTTCTCTTTTAGATATGTCTCGAGATTCGTCAACAATAATACAAAACTTTGAATCACCAATTTCCTCACGGATTTCTTTTTGCACTTTGCAAATACTTGTAGAATCTCTTTCTGAATTGCAGGAGATGTATATTTAGCATTTTGTTGGGCATTGTCCATCACAAAATTACATACATCTTTATTATATGATGCTAAGAGTTTTAACATCTCAAGAAAGTTACCTTGATTTTTCGACTTTGCACTTTCATCATGTCCTCTAAATGCACAATTTTGAAATGTAAGCCATCGCACTACTTCAATTGAACTTTTTATTCTTAAACGATTATCTTCAATCAATTGTGGATTAAGCTTTTCAAATGCCTGATTAATGCGACCTTCAGTTTTCTTCAAATTTTCCCAACATATTGTTGAATATCCATGAGCAGAATTGGTATCTTTCCCCATATGAGATAACAAAGAACAATCTCTACCCCCAACCTTTTTCCAATTTCTGAATCCTTTACTGTAAAAACATTTGATCCGGATTTTCCTAATGGGTCATTTGGAAAAAGGAAACATGGAAAACAATAAGCTACATCTGTTGTAGGGGAATATTCTAGGCAGGGAAATTTCTTAAACCAATTAGATTGGAATCGACGTGGGTGATCTGTCGGACCTGAAGAAGGGTATTGATCTAAGTGATATTGATAAGGCCCGTAATGTATATATGCATTGACAATATCTTCCTTCTCCTTTGAAGGATAACTATTAATTGACTTACGCAAAGCCGGATCACGCGTCAAAACTGTATTTCCAATATTAAATGTAGGTTGAGCTGTAAATGCATTTGTTGATTGTTCATTACGGGTAAAATTCTCGAGATTTACATCAACATTCGTTTCAACAGTCACATTAGGGGATGGGTCTTCAATGTTCAATTTGGAAGGAGATTTTGCTTTCGAAAAATAAGAGTCAATTGTTTTTCTCTTCATATTTCAAGTTTTCAACCTAGAAAAAATAATATTATTTTGATCAATTACACGCTAAATAATTCATAATATCGTTGAGTTATAATAGTAATTTATGATAAAATTATGCGATTATATTCGGCTAATTAAATTACATATACAAAGTAATACAATTTATAATCTAATTTAACTCACTTAATTTGATTATATAACCCTAATACATATATATTAAAAAATAATGAAATTACAACAAAGAATAAAAAAAGTCATAAAAGACGAATTGAAGGTACCGAAGTAGGCTATTGTTGAAGCTTGAAGGTACTCCGTAGTTGTTATTTTATTAAGTTGGTAAAAGGGTAAATATATATATATGTATATATATATATGTATATATATGTATATATATATACTTTAGAAATTGTCAAAGAGAAAAAGACTCAAAAGTAGCCTAGCCCCTAAGCCTATATATATAGAAGTACTTTTTGTTTCCTATATTTTATAGGAAAAAGAATTCAAAGATTCTTTCCTAATTTTGTGTCAGCCGCCTAACATGTATGCATGGGCTATTTTTCTTTTTTTTTTTTTTTATTATTTTTTTATTTTATAACTTGGGCTTCAACACTATTTTTTTTGGGCCAAGGGGGTGGCCATGGCCCACCTAGGCCCCCCTAATTCCACCCCTGCTTAGGGTAGTAAGGTATCAAGATGTCCTAGAGCTTGTGTTCGATTGTCCAAATGTCTTTCGGATCTGCCTAGCAAAGGTATGTCTGAGGGATCCGCCTTGATGTTCGAGAGCTCGGCCTGCAAAACAAAGAAAGTTAGCTGCTTTGGGGGTGTGACCCGGGAAAACCCCTCCGATGCTTAAGACAGCAAATGTACTCTCTAGAGAGAGAAAATAGATAGAAAAGGTTATAGAATTAGAAAAAAGTTACCATCATTAATAATTGGAGAGCTATTTATAGATGTACTTTCAGGTGGCAGAAGTTGTACTTGGTTGGACAGATTAGGGGTAAATTCGTACTTTACTCTGATTAATGATGGGATGGATCGTGGAGGGGTGTTTTCATAATTCCAGATCAATGGGCTTAAGACAATAGACTAGGCCCAAACATTTAGCCCCACGCATGATGTTGGAACGAGATCGCATGAAGTTTGGATGTCACACGGAATGAGTATAATAGAAGTTGTCATATCAGCCGGAATGACTTTTAAGGCGTACCCGCGGGCTAAAATGATTCCTAAGTGTACTTAGGGCTAAAAAGAGCCCACAAGCAACTTGCAAGGGTGAAGACCAGCCCCAAGTAATGCATTAGAAGTACTTAAGTAGATATGATTGAGCAGTTTTGTGAGTATATCCGAGAGCTAAGCTAGATGATGAATGATGGCTTTTTGACAACCGAGAGCTTAATATCATGAGAGGTAAGCCCAATGCCTAGCAGAGAGCATAACTTGTCTTGATGGATTATATATGGCTAGACTCTAGTCTAGGCATCCTAGCCTACACCCCTCCCTAAACTCATCGTTTAACACCCCTTCCCCAAATACTCACTTTTACAGTAACTACATAGTAATATCCGTACTATTTCCCCCACCCCATATATACATAAGAAAAAAAAAACCATTATCATTTCACTTTCTCTCTCCTCACCCATTTTCTACATTTTCTCTCTCTACATCTATTTTTTGCATTTTCAAATATGAAATTTCTATAAATTTGTGACAAATTATCAAAATAAAATTGTTCAGTTACTACATAATTCAACTAATCAAGGTCGAAATTCAAAGGAGTAAGTGATTTTGTTCATATTTAGTTCAAAAAAGAATATAAACGAACCCTAGTTTTAGTAATTTTTTGTTGCAATTGTGTTACAGGATCATCATCGAAGTATAAAACATAGAAAAAGATTATGAACTATTGCATTTTAGTAATTTTTACTAATTTTCGTTTAAAAACTAGTAATCTGAACAAGTAGCTTTTCATTTTTGGGTATGAACTATGAAGCATTCTCTCTTTTTTTTGGGCAATTGAAGGAAATAGTTTCAGAGAAGAACATCAAAGAATCTGGAGAAAAGTAAACATTAATTGAATTAGTTTGTAGCGTTTCTTTTTTACTGAATGTTCATTTCCGTTTCAATAAATGTTCATTTATATACTAGTATACAATCATTCACATGTTAATAGATGATTAATATAAATATATTACTACATTTATATATCACAACATAGTCATTGTATTAATGTTAATTCTTTTTCGTAGTTTGGAGTGGAAAATTATTACTACATAGTCATTGTATATATAAATGTCATTCTTTTTCATAGTTTGGAGTGGAAAGTGATTTTAGATGAATATTCGGTTGTATTTTGGTAGATGTTCAATCACATAAAAGTATATGGTTTTCACATATTAATATACGATTACTAGAATTTTGATAAATATTTATATTTTGGTCATCTTCTTCAAATATTTCATGCTCGGTTAAATTTTGAGTTTCAACATATGTCTTTTTTCAGATGGATGTATGATAAATCACATATTGATAGCTTCAAGTGTTATTTACGTATATATTTCATGTTCATCGATTGATATCTTTCATAGGCATTTTTAAACTAATGCATGTTCATTTATATATTAATAGATGTACATTTTCATATTCAATTATGTAAATATGTTCATTATTGTATTTATAGTTGTTCATTCCATATTAATAGATGATCAATTCTACAAATATATATGTTCATTTATATATTAATATATGTTCATTTCCATATCGATCATTTCAATTGTTATATTTTCATATTCATATGAAAATTGGTTCATTTCAACACTTATTCTTGCTCAAATCTAACTAAAAAAATCTTGTTTTTGTCGATTAGTTAAACAAAGAATCGTGGATATTTAGCAAGGAAAAAAAAGAAAGATCAGACGACAAAAATAAGGAAATCAAGAATGCATGGATTCGCGCAACATCAATATGTGTAGAATTGAATTGTATATTTAATATTCAATAGTTTAATTTTTGGTGATATACAATTTCTATTTGATTTTAATAAGAAGGATATAAACTTTTTGTTTCCCAAAGTATTATTACAAATCACATCGTTCAAAAGCAAACATTTAAATAGTATATATATAATACTAATATTTTTTTACGACTTTGAACCATCATTCACTAACTATATTAGAATATGTTCATAAACACACCTTAACGATCAATAGGAAACTGTACAAAAGTTAAACATTCAGTTCTTGTATCAAGCCACTCATAGGATCTAATATTTCTACACTTATTATCTTTATAACCCCTTATTAGAACAAATAAATCCTTTCATAAAAAATGAGCCATCCTTTCGCCTCTTACTCCTCCTAACTCTGATCCCAAACCTTTCATAAAAGCATACTCATTATATATTTCATAAGCATCATCTACCGAAGGAAATTGTTTCCTCCGAAAATCAAAGTGACTTGCTTCTTCAAAAAATAACAGCATCCTCTATTCCCACTGCAATAATTAAAAATGTAA